ATATATATATATATATATATATGTCTCATAGTACATAAAAAAATGTTATAATGTGTACAAAAGTATTAAAATATCAAATTGATACAGAGTGTAAAAAAGAAAGTCCATAAAAAAGAAGGTATACAAGTATATGTCACATTTATATTGCAAAATTATCAATCACTCGATTAAAAATTTGGTAACGACATCATTAAATTCTTCGGGGTATCGTAGATGCAGATTGTGTGCTCCTTTTTCAAAGATTTTCAACCTAAAATGATTTTTGATCACGTCAGCTGTGGTCGTTCGTGGTTAGATCGAAGTATAAATTAAATTGTACAAACTTTGCACCGACGATGTGATCCTTCAAGTAAATTGGATGTTCGGGAAGTATCATAGCATCTTTAGTTCCTTGAATGATCAAACTAGGACATTTAATCTTCGCTAACAACTCTTTGCACAAATCACCGTGTTGCTTTTCGCAAATTCTTAAAACTGCATCTACCCAATCAGACCAAGTCCTTCGAAAATATTCTGTCCCGTATACCTCAATCATTGGTGCTCGCATTTTCTCGGACCAAGTGTCTATATTTTGGTAATCTATCGATAGCCACGGAAGAATAACACAACGATTTTCAATGATTAATTTTCAATAATTTGTATCCGATAATGAAAGAGGAATATTGTACTTTTGTAAATCTTGACTTCTTCTGGCGTTACATAGGCATTCGCAGCAACAGCTACCATCTTCCGAATGTTATTAGGGAACATCGAAGCAAGCATTAAAGAAGTAATACCACCATCGCTCCATCCTATCAATGAAAATTTGGTGTAACCTAAAGCTTTCATTAAATTGTATGCCCAATTGGCATCACGTTGAAAAAAATCATCTGGGAACGTCCTGTCGGGTGGCCTTGATCTTCCATAGCCTGGAGGATCCCATGCTACTATAGTAAATTTTCCTCTATCAAGCCCTTCTATTTGTGGTTTGAAATCCGTCCAAATCGAACCTATGCCACGACATTGCAATTTACATTCGAATTTACTTAAAACGTCTCTCGAATTGCTTAACAATTTTTATAATAAAATATGGTAAATTATGTTTGAGCATCAATTATACTTGAAGTAATATTATCTTAAAATGTATGTATATATATGTATATATATATACTGTATATATGTGTGTATATATACTGTATATGTGTATATATATGTATGTAT